GGAATCAAAATCTAAAAAAATGGAAATATTCAAATGCCCCACCGATTGGGCGACAAACTTGTAACGACTATTTTGCTTACCACAGGGTAAGAATATGGGGGACAAGATTGGGCAAACAAAATAATCGAAACAAAGTGCATACGGACACTCAGTTGGTTGTTGGAGAGCTGGGTCGTGGATAAGTTGAAGATATTGGGGGTTGGATTGGACAACTACAAAAAAAAAGAAATAAAGGGGTACTTATACAAATCTCTTGGGACAAACAGAATGAAAATTAACGGAAACACCTCAAGAAATTTAATATAGGGCGCCACTTGAGGTGCCCAATTATACCTATTACAACCACTAGTTGTAACTAGGGAAATAATTGTATAACATCAAAAATATAGAAAAAAAATATCTTTTTCAAATAAAACTCAAAATAGATCAGAGAAACAAATTAAACATTTATTTTTGTCTCACCAAACAGTTATCAAAAATACAGATTTTACAAGAACATATTATATAAACATAATACAAAAATTAGCAAAAACTTACGTGCTTATTTGTCTACAAAGGAGATTGCTATAAATATTTACAAATTTTACTGAAATATTAACTGTTGTACTGTTAATGAAACTGTGTCAGAAATAATTTATTACAAATAAAGAAATATCTTTAAAATGAAAACATTCATAGAGAGGTTAATCTTCTTTAAAAAACCAAGGCAAATTATTGTCAAAAAAAATAATAAAGTTAGCTGCTAGCTGTCAACATAAAATCTTAATCTTACTTACAACGGAGAACAAATCAAATTGAAAGCATAACCACACTCTAAGATTTACAATATTAATTATTAAAACTTTTAAATTGTATGAAAGCAATTATTATTTTAATGTTTCTTTTCCTTCAAAAGTTTAAAACAAAAAAGGGTTACCTTGGTTTCACTAAACACACTAAGATTTTTGGGGTTACCTTCTCTGCCACACGATCAAATCTATTTCCATACTGTGAGACATATTCTGGGACGGCTTCTTAGGACAAATATTACAAACTTGAGGTTAAAAATTTGGAACACAAGACTTTGGAAAGGGCTTCTTAAAAAACAGGAATACATAAAACTGGACACAACGGCAACATGTGAGATTATCTTTCGAAAATTTTTGCAGGCAACACAAATCCCTTAGGTACTTAGAAAAATGAAAATAGTGATTACTCCTTTCAAATTTGACATATTACATAGAATATAGTCTACTATTTTCAACACTTTTTAGCCGGTTTCTTTACCGACTTTCTACATTGTCAGCCGTCTGCCCAGTTTCAAATCTTTTCTTGGACTCTACATTGTATATCTACACCGTTTCAAATCTGTTCTTCGACTCCTTTGCTTCGTTACATTTTACAAGAAACTAGCCAAAAATTTCCCTTCCGTCTTGCAGCTAACCTCTCCACAAACTCAAGAACCAAAACAATATCCCCTCGCTTGTATCGACAAAAAAACAAATTTTAAATGTTCCTTTATTGCCTAAACAAACAAATATTCTTTTTTTGACCCTCGACTAATAACGAAAAACAACTTTAATATTAGGGGAATTCATGATTTATTGCGTTTTTAACGAAGAAAACAAATAAAACCTTTCTTTTTATCAGGGGGCATCATAAATTTACATAATACAAATTAACAAAATACGTGCGTATTTTAAACTTGAGTTTTACCTGGCTTATAACAAAGGGTTCGATATTTGGATCTAAACACAGACAAAAAAAACATCTATATTTACTTTTGAATCGGTAGAAATATACGCATTTAAAAATCTCGTCAAAAAAACTTGAAATATTTACAACATACCTACATTTAACTTTATTGATCGATTTCTTGGTAGAAACAACAGGGACGTACCATAGAAATATTTTCTATACACTTTAAATAAAAAAAACGCTACAAGGTAAGTTGTACGATCGTGCACCCGGCAAAGTTGGATTTGCCAACTAGTTCAAAGTACTAGTGTAGACCGTACCCGTCTCATAAATTGGATATTAAAATTTAGTGCTCTGGGGTCCCCAAGGCCCGCTCTGGTGGGGTCGTAACTATTACTCTTTTAACAATATGGATTAACGAGCCACTGCCCTAGTGGTCGGGGAGAGATTACATTAGGGAAATTTAGCTGAGAGAAAATCTACTGCTAACTAGAGGCATCCCATCAAACACACCACATGAGTATAGGTGCCGCATGGAATGCAAAAGTAGCGAGAGTTTGAGCCACCTCCTTCAAAAGTACCCTACACCACGCTGGTACTGAATAAAGAGACATGACTAGCTCGTTACGTATCTTCGAAAAGTAGCTGACAAGAAAAAGTAGATTAGTGAGACAGAGTCAATAATAAGATGCGAAGCTGAGACTTTGAAAATACCCGACCGTGTCGCGCAACAAGGTAATCGGGTACTTGTCGCAGACGTTGCTATCAGCTGGACAGATCCTGAACCTTTAAATGTTGCTTCAAAATAATGGTTTTTATCAACCTATTTTGAAATTACTGCTCTGTCTGTATAAGCTAATCAAATGTCATTCTTGTTTCGGGTATATTCGGATGCTATATATACATGATGAAATTAATAACTGTTTTTAGGCCTCTCTTTCGTTTGAACATTTGAAGTGTTTGGAATCAGCTGGTAATATCTAATTTTTTTTACTTTTATTTAAACAATGTGATCTTCTGATGTTACTTAAAGTTAAATATAAAACTTATTAGAGGATACGAGAAGCGCGTACAAAAAAAAAAACAAAAATTACAAAATCACATTTTTCAGTGGCCAAAGTACTATATTATATTGGTTAATAGTATTCTAAGCTGATCAAAGACAACTTTCAATTGCCAAATAAACATCATGAGAAAATAATTTAAGCCAAAAATAACATATCTGTAACGATAGAGCTAGCAAGGTGCTTACCAGCAAAGAGATCATTCTAATGAAATACAGAGACTGTCTTCTTGTTTATGTACTATATCAGAAATGTCCGATAGTGTTAATGACGAACAACATGTGAATAGTAATATTACCACCGATTTTAATATCTTTGTGACCATTAGGTTGTAACGCTATCTCAAAAACTAGTTCAGTGTAGACATTAAACAAAATCGGTGATACAACACATTCATATCTGACCATGCTTAATAGGAACTTTAGCTGAAACCTCTTGATTTAGCTTGGGTAATTGTAGTAAAGATTTTTAAACAACCTAATATCATACGTATCCAGACTAATTGAGTCTAAGCATTAGAATAGTATTGTATGTGGTACTCCATCGAAGACTTTTTCGAAATCTATACAACATAAACGTAAATATTTTTCAAACTTAATGCTCTTTTGTAAGAGTCTTCACATGCAAAATAGAGCTTTTCGAGTACCCATAACGTTTCGCACTCACGAAAGTTTATATTCGTGACAATTTTATATATTTATCAAAATTTTAATCGTGCGGACTCATTAAACTGATAAGTAAATAGTCTCTACACTGTCTGGAATTCCTTTTCTTGATAACAGTTAAAAATTTTAATTTCAACCAGATATTTGGTAAAGTGCCTCTGCTGTATATTGTGTAAAAGAAAGTGATAATCGAAACACTCCAATTATCTAATAATTTTAAAAATTAAGGAGGTAATTCGTCATGACCAGGAGCCTTCCTTCATTTCGCTTGGACGAAACGAAGTCTTAGAAAGGATAATAATTAGCGACGTCAATATTAATGAAGATAAACCATGTTTCAAACATCAGTTCAGAACTTCAGGTAAAAACTTGGACCAGCATACATTGATAGTGTGCGTATCATAACTAAAACCAAGTCAAGAATCTGACTCTTAAAAGGAGTGAAACTCTTAAAAGGAGCAATGGAAGTCATAGAACTGCAGAACAAAAGCAAAAAAAAGTTTATGCCGACTAACAGCACAAACACTAGATATCAGTATACATAAAAAGACAGATTACACTCACAGACACGTGGTAGTCTGACCTATCAAAATTTCTAGTTATTAAACGATTATTCCAAGAAACGCCATTAAGACTATATAAAAGCCAATGCTCGTCCTGCTGATGGGCATGGAATCTTTTTAAATAGAATAAATACCCTCTATTCATTTTTAAAAGAAAAATACTACTAAAAATCTTTAGAGCGGTTTGAGAAGACGGAATACGGAGGCGGAACAGTTAGACAAAATATTCTAAAAAAAGAAAATTGCAAGTGATATTACCAAAAATAAAAAAAATATATACAGATATCAAAATGTAAAAAACATTATTAACAAAATATTATTATTAAATAATTTATTTTAATATTATTGATAACAGCTAACATACTATAAGAAAATAATTTTGAAAAGAAAAAGGAGAATGATAATATTGGAAATTCAAGTATTTCATGTGATCTGTAAATAATAATATTTTTACATAAAAAATTAAACACTTATAATACTTTTTGAACTTTAGTATTGTATTAATATGAAATACTTAATACCTATTAGATAAGTCAGATATATCTCAAGAGTTTACCGATTACAAAATAAATAAATTATTGAATAATCCGAAGAATTCGAATAAATAATTTTCAACATAAATAAACTGTAAACAAATTATCAAAAACGGATACTTCCTATTTTTAACGAAGTATACTTAGTTTACCAAAAATATAAATATCGGAAGAATTTAACCCATCCCTCTATAAGAGATGCGCCACTGAATATATGAAATCTCTTCATATGTACGCCCTTTAACAATCCTCATTGAACAGGTACAATAGTCCTTCAGAAAGAAGTGGGGATCAAAGAGAGTCTTAAAATTCGTACAACCTCCTCATAATCGTCATTCTTGTGAAAACCTTTAACTGCAAAACTTTTTTGCCTGTATAATAAATCGCTAGTGGATTGAGAGTCGTTAGTTATAAGTGTGTTATAGTTTTAATAATAAAAAAATGAAAACAGAAATCAGAAAGCCGCCATCAGAAAGTCGAAAAATAAGAAAGCCAATAATGGAGAAAAAAAGAAGAGCCAGAATCAATGATAGCTTAGAAACTCTAAAACAAATACTACTTCAATCAAAAACAGACTTACAAGAAGCTAAAAAAGGCCAAAGAACAGCTAAATTAGAAAAGGCTGATATTCTTGAGATGACTGTGCAGTATCTACAACAACTTCAAGAAAAAGATAAAGAAAATCAGCCAAAACCTATGGGTGTTAAACAAAACTTCCCAGAAAGTGCGACTTTAATGAAAAAAGTTTCAAATCAACAGAAGCCCTTACGGATATGTTCCAATTCGGTACACAAAGAGCCAGTTGCCATTCGACCAGCTGATAGTTCATCCGAAAAGGTCAACTTGGGTGTTAGACTTCTTCCTACACAATTAATTAGTGGACAGGTTGTGTATTTGTTACCTTCTACCTTAAATGTAAATAATATAAACTCAAACTACGCGGATAGCAAAGACAAAGTGTGGAGACCTTGGTGATCTAAAACACCTGTTGTACTTAGTGAGTTACATTATGGCAGGTTTTTACTAATTTAGTTTAAAGTTATTATTGTACTTCTCGAGTAAGTAATGAATTTATGAGACTGTTTTTATAGAGCTGTGATATTGTTTTTGAAAGAGATAATTTATATATTAAATATTTTACTATCTACAGTTGTTTTATTTCTATTATGAAGTTTTTGACGTATTTTTAATATTTTATAGTATAAAGGTAAGCCATTTATTTAACTAACCAAAAATAATATTGTATATGTATTTTATATAAATACGTAAATAAATATTTTTTCTTCATTATAGTGCTTACGGTTTAAAACTTTTGACCTAACTTTTTTAAACGATCAAAATTTTTATTAAGCTCAAAAAGACAAAGAAAAGTTTTTACCAGATCATATTTGTCTATTTTAACTTAGTTTCATTTTTACATGTTTTCGTAAATAGATCAGGGGATATCTGCTATGGGTTAAATCGTATGTGATCCAAATTTTTTTCTTTAATCTCTTGGAATATTCTTAGAAATGATAATTTAACTATGAGTACACTTTAAAAAGTCGGCTAAATTTTTTATAAAACAAGTTTATTGTAAAACAAAAAAATTTAATTTTTCCCCCCTTTTAGTTGCTGTATCTCGGCAGTTATACGTTTAAAAAATGTAACAAGAAAACAATTAAATTTGCTATAGGACGATCTTGATGACAAATATAAAAAATAATAATTATTATTGCCAAATTAGGAAAAATAATTTAAAGAGTCAAAAATTAATATTTTAATAATTTTTTTCAGGTATTTAGGAGCCACATAAAACTAAAAATTTACCGAGAAAATATATAAAATATAAAAAACACTATACAAAATTTCAATACAATACAAATACAAAAGTAGCTTTACATTTTTGAAAAAGGTTATTAATTTTCAAACTTATGCAGAGCTGACCAAAAAAGTTTTAAATACTATAAAGTTTTTTGGATATAGAATGGCATTAAAGCTTTCAAACAAAAGTCAAACCATTTAAATCACTTAAACAGGAGAGCGTAGGGATTTTTTTAAACAACTGAACAATTTTTAAGCAAATAAACAAATATAATCACTTTTTCAATTTTCAATAAACAATTTTTTTTTTCTAAATTTATGTCGAAAGTTCAGCAAAAGATGCGTATTATAAGAAAAAAAATATTACGATTTGTCAATTAGTTCCGAAGTTATGATCGAAAATGACTTAACGTTATTAAATTAACTTTGTATTGAAGTTTATTTTTAGAATTACTATTTAATAAAAAAATGTATTAACAACTAAATAAATTTGGATTAAATAATAAAAAAATGCTACTAATAACATTGATATTGTCGCCGTAACGAATGAAAAAAAAAGGAAAAATTACTAATAAAAATAATACTAAAATAAGTAATTTTACAAGTTAATATTCATTTATACATAAAAACATGGATAATAAGTAATTATAAATATGCTATTAAAATATACAATATTTGAATATTTTAGCTCACGGAACCTCATTTTAAAAAAAATGATCACAATTGATTTACTAGAAGCTGAGATAATTAAAATTTTCTTTTATTTTTGTGACATTTTTGAGACAAATATTTTATTAAAATACTCGTCTTTTTCTGAACTGTCGACGTAAGTTTAAAACAAAATATTTAAAATTGAATTTATTATTAAAGTTATTGTATTGTATTAGCTTGAAATAAAAATCGTACAGTTTTGTTTTACAAATTTCCTTGGTTCTCCTATTCAAATGATTTCAATGATGACTTATTTAACAGCTTAAATACTATTGTGTACGTTAAAAAACTTTTATTTATTTAATTTTTTTTGCTTTGCATAAGTTTGAAAATTAATACCTTTTTTTCAAAAAATTAGATTGCAAAATTTTGGCACAGACTATTTAATCGATTGTACTGAAATTTTGTGTATAGCGTTTTTTTATATTTTAAGGATTTTCTGGGTGAATTTTGAAAGCCCTATTTATCTCTTAAAAACTGATTGTAAAAATATTGATTTTTTATCTTTTTTAAATTGTTTTTGCTATTGTTGCATTAATTTTTATAATTTTATTTTAATTAGCAATCAATTTTGTCCTGTAGGAAATTTAATTGGATAACTTTTTTGTCGATACCAAACTATTCTTGTATAAATCTATAACTGCCGAGATATATCGACGAAAAAGAGAAAAAACATTGAATTTTTCTCATTTTTTTTTCACAAATTGTTGTCGTCAGAGACGAAAATGTTACTTAATCTCTAAAAATCATACGAACAAGCTGAATTTTACTGAGAATGTCAATTTTGGAACTTTAAAAAAGATGTTTACTACCTTTACTCCCGGGCTTCTCCCCAAAACCTCCCTTGTAGGGGGGTAAAAACGCAAAAAAATTGTTTTACCAATAATCTGTACGTTGTAGAAAAAAATGTTTTATTTAAAAAATGTAGTTGAGATAATTTCAAAGAAAAGTGCTAATTAGCACCTTGTGTGTAGAATGAACCTTTTTTTCACAAAACAACGCTTGAAGCGACCGTCGATTTTGAACGTTAGTTGCTAGAGGCATTTAAAATATGCTTTAAAAAACGCTGGATTTAACGTTTCACATAAAAAAACTATATAAAATGTTTAAAACTTTTTTTTTTCAATTACACTAGTAGGTTTTTCAAAAGAACCAAACCATTGCTATAAACTACACACAAAAACCGACTTATGTCTAGAGCCTGACCCACGACTATGAGCCACGTAATGTGAGTTGCCTATTATGAATTTGAATCGGGGAAATTACTGACAGACTTACGCATGGCGTCTTAGTGACGTGACAACTTAGTATTTTAATATTGTTCTGAAGCTATTTTCTTGTGGCATTGTAAATTCATTACTATTAAACTGGGAATAAGCCATAATTAAAGATAAAAATACGTTTATTGACGTTTCAATTTCCACTTCGGAAATCGTTCTGAAAATACAAACAGTAAATTAAAAATTAATTTACTGTTTGTATTTTGAGAACGATTTCCGAAGTGGAAATTGAAACGTCAATAAACGTATTTTTATTTTTAATTGTGGCTTATTCCTAGTTTAATAGTAATTAACTTAGTATTTTCTTGTCTTGTTTGTTAAAGACTTCTTCTTCTTCATGTGCCTTGTCCGTTCCGAATTCTGGTAATCACCATGGCTATGCTGACTTTGTTTACGGCAGATCTAAATAGTTCAGCAGATGACAATCCGAACAATTGCCGCAAGTTTTGGAGCCACGAGTGTCTTCTCCTCCCTGGACCCCTTCTGCTGTCTATTTTCCCTTGAACGATCAGCTGTAGTACTCTATATTTATTATGTCTCATAACGTGACCCAAGTATTCCAACTTTCTTTTCTTTATACTTATTCCTACCTCTTTCTCTTTACCTATCCGGCGTAGTACCTCCTCCTTGGTCACGTGCTCAGTCCAGGATATAAGTTATATACGTCTGTAAGCCCATATTTCGAAGGCCTTTACTTTTTTCATCAATGATGCGGTCATTGTCCACGCCTCCATTCCATATAACAAAACCGGGAATACATAACATTTTAGAAGTCGAATTTTGCAAGGTAGGGTGAGGCTTTTAGAGGTGAAAATTTGCTTCATGCTAGTAAACGAATCTCTTGCCTTTTCTACTCTTATACGTATTTCCTTCGCTTGATCTCAATTTAAGTTAAGTGTTGTTCCCAAGTAGATGTACGAATCCACGTGTTCAATTCTTTCATTGTCTAATATCAGTTGCTGTGGTGGTTGTTGGGTTTTGCTTACTAACATCCATTTGATTTTTGAGATATTTAGTCTGAGTTGGTATTGTGCACTTGTTTTTTGTATCTTACTCATTAGGCAACTCAGTTCCTTCATGCTAGTTGCTAGAATCATAGTGTGATCAGCATACTTTATGTTATTAATTATTTCTCCATTTATCTTTATGTCTTCTGTGCTTTCCTCCAGCGCTGTCTTAAATACTTCTTCTGAGTATATATTAAAGAGAATAGGAGACAAGATACAGCCCTGTCGTAACTTTTTCTTGATCTCAATTTTATTGGACATTGTAGATCCTACTTTCACTTTAGTTGTTTGACCCCAATAGAGACTCGCTATTGTTCGAATGTCTCTGTAGTCGACTCCGATCTTATGGAGAACTTCAATGACCTTTTCGTGCTTTACGTTATCGAATGCTTTTGCCTAGTCTATAAAGAATATATGTATACGTCTTTGTTCATATCTCTGCAGCGCTGGATGAGTACCTGTAGACTAAAAAGTGCTTCCCTTGGTCCCAGAGAATTCCGAAACCCAAACTGCGAATCTCCAATGTTATCCTTGCATTTTTTGCTTATTCTGTTGTAAATAACCTTGGTGTATGCCTTCGAAAGGTGGTTAATTATATTTATCATCCGATGTTGATCACAAGACTTTGCTTTTGGTTTTTTCGGTAGGACAACAAAAGTTGACTCTAACCAGTCTTCAGGAAACTCCCCGCTGTTATAAATATTGTTAAAGAGTCTGATGAGTGAGTCTAGAAATTGACAGTTTGTTTCGCACAGCATTTTCAATACTTCCCCGTATACGTTATCGTTGCCTGGCCTTTTGTTATTTTTAAGACCCTTTATAGCATTCTCCACTTCTAATTTTAGAATAGAAGGGCCAGTATCATCATTGCTCAGTGTATACCCACTAGGACGGTCATCATTAAACAGTTGTTCCACATAAGTTTTCCAAATTCTAACTATTTTGTCGGAGTCTAGTTGTAGATTTCCATCATCATCGAACAGCCCTTTCGATAAAATATTGTAGCCTTTCTTTGTTGTGAGTTCCTTTATCTTCTTATGCATATTGTGATAGTCGTATACCTTTTCGCACTGTTCGATTTCTTCGCATCTCTCCGAGAACCATTTTTCTTTAGTTTTTCTTATCTCAGCTCTTATTCGTCTATGGGTTTCACGGTATTTGGCAGTATCTTTCT